AAATAATACTCAAAGACTGATGAAAAAACTTTTGATAGACAAAAAGAAACTAAGTTACATGAACTAAAATAACAAAATATAACAACAACAAAAACATCTAAAAGTTGAAAAAATAAGAAAACTAATATATCAATGTATGAATGTTGTAACAATCAGTGCAGTTTGTTTACATACACTAGTAAACAACAGATTCAGATTGCGTAAATATCAACATATGGGACAATTTAATTGTTCGTTGTGTCTTTGTTGTAAAGCAATCTGCGAGGTCACTGTGTCATATTAGACACATTTTTAATAAATAAATGTCTTTATATTCCTCTGCAGATAGTGCTCAACATTTGGCAACAAAACGCCGCTGGGGAGATATCAGCTTGAAAATAACCTCTCACAGAAAGGACGAATTCAAAGCAAAACTACAGACATCACCTGAAGCCAGAAAGAGAATAAACAGCCGGAGAAACATGCATGCTTCTGACAAGTCAAATCAACAAGGAACAAACAAACACATCTCAGAGAGCAATTTAACGATCAGTGAGAGAAACAGGAGAAAGTTTCAAGATAATTTGCAAGGGAAAGCAGCTCGGCTAAAGATGGAGAACGAAAACATCCATTCAGAACGAAATGCCAAAAAGAGCTGTCAAGATGAACTGACACCATCAACATCAGTTTTTGGTCTTTTCCAGAAAATTGGAACTCTTGTAAATACTTCAACCAATGAGAGTTCCCCTAGCAACGACAACTTTGAAAAAACGGACAAGAAAAAAAGCAACATCTCAGCTGCACAAATAGATATAGCCAAGTTAAAAGAAATGCTGGGTCCCCGAAAAGTAGTTGATGAAGATGTAACTGTTAAAGAAGACATACTGGAGGAAAACAACAGCGATGCTGCTTTCAATGATGACTGTTATGATGATGATCCAGAAGTTGGGGATCTTTCAGAGCAAATAAATGATGCCAAATCACACCACGAATACGAGATAAACGATGAAGGATCTGATGGCAGTGGTGGTTCATTGTGCAAAACAGAAGAAGAATCTCCAGATCAAATAGAAGGTAGGTGTTCAACAATCTATCTCAGTTTGTAGCTGTCATGCCTTATTATATTTTATTAGATGACTATTTGTTCCTTTATTTTTCTGATATATTTATATTTTTTGTTTAATAAAGACATTAAATAGTAGTCCTTACACAATTCAGTGTAATAAAGCAGTGCAAACATTTTTCAATACTCCATACTGTGTAATTAACAATCCTGGCAATGTGACTGGTCAATGCGAGCAAATTGAACTTTTGACAACATGACAGGAATCACATCATACACCATTGAATATCTTGAGATATTGGTGGAATTGTTATAGAAATTATGCTTCAAATAGAGCTCTACAGTATACATAATTAAAGTACTGTAGAATACTTTTCGCTTAGAATTTATTTTCGCTATTTTCGCTGAACAAATGATTTAGTGACAATAAAATTCAGCGAATATGCCGTTGTTCCTATATTCTACATTCAACTAGTCAGAAATCAGTGAAAATAAATTCCATACAAAACACCCAATATCGGCGAAAATTAATTCCAGCTAAAATAAAGTATTTTACAGTATTAATACAGCTGTGTTGCAAGCTTCTCACGATGCCAGTGTATATCATAATGGAACATAAGGAAGAGCTTTTTTTTTTATTATTATTTGTGCATTATGGCAGGCTTGTCATTTTAATTAAAGCTGATCACAAATCCTAAAGCTGTGGTTTTTATTTGGAAAAGCAGTCAGCTTGTTTGTATTAGTGCATATTATTTGTTATGAATCTACAGACGGTTAAAGAGTTGATTGCGAGCTGGGTCTGTAATTTGAGAAAGTTGTTGGCTAAAATTAAAAAAGTTATAAATGTTTATTTTATTTTATTACATTTTACTAGTAGCTTCGCGGTGAGTGGCATTTGCAGTTAGTGGCATTCGCTGTTAGGGGTGATCTCATATTCAAACATGCGGGTCAAACCTACGAAAACCCAAACCGCCCTAAACCGCCCGAACAAAACCCAGTTTTGCGGTTTGGAAGTTTAAAC